GATCCAGCTCAGAAAATCAAATGTGTTTTCTAGCAGGAAGTTCTTAAACTCAGCATGAAATTCGACTAAGGCACAGGGTCCTTCAAATCGGTATTGGACTAATCCAAGTAAAGAATTTGGGTGATTTGAAAATGACCCCCTCCATGTCCTTCCAGTTATTGGCAGTACAATTGCATGGCAGATTCGTCAGGGGACTTAGAAGGGAACAAATCAGGACTGGAGTAAATGTGTCCCCACCGAAGGGTAGGTACCTTTTAAGCCCTCTTTCATTTTCCTGTGTTTCCAAGTCAGGCTCTGGCATTATTTCTTCCTGCTAGCTTAATTGTGGCATAATGGCATTCTTTTTCTTTGTCAAGCTGTCACTCATGGAGGAACCTTTTCCACTTGCCAGTGTCTTAAGTATAATTCAGGCAAATGACACTTCAAAAAGGCTGAAGACTTAAATTATTGAAAGTTATGCTTTTGACCAAACAAATACCAGACAGCTCTCTCCAGCCTCCTCTGTTAGTGTTCAAATCCATTATGGAATATGCACATGGAGAGATTAGTTGATTCTGTAATCCACCAGGACTTTGTCTTGTCTATCTTTCCTTGGGACCCTAAGGAGCTATATGGAGGAAGGAGACTGGTAGCTATAAATGGGACTCCACACTGCAAGGGTAAGGGGGGACCAAGCAAGGAAATTGATTTCTGGGCTGAATGCATGGATTATATTGGGACAGATGGCACATGATTTCTCCTTCAGAAATGTCAGTGTGAGAGACAGCACTTCCTTGGAATAAAAGAACAGTTAACTACTACCAAAGCGCTACACATTTCTCTAAGTACCTCCTACTTCTCTTATACTTCATTTATTTATTCATTCCTTCATGAATATGTGGTAAGGGTCTATTGTGTGTTAGACACTGGACTGAGAAATGACAATACTAAGATGAAAGGAGATGTTCCCTACTTTTGAGGAGTTTATTTTTTTAGGGGACCCAATATGTAAACCAATGATACAGGGAGATAAATAAATGCTACTATAGAAGAGCTTAAAGGTGTTTTGATCCCAAGAAGGAAGTGTGTGGACAAAGTGGGTAAAGAAAGGGTGCACAGAAAAGAAAACACTTAAAGGAAGAGTCACAAGATACAGGCCATGCCTTTCAGCCTTCTCCTACCACAGCAAGAGAAAGCAATCCAGCTCAGCCCCAGTGCCCAGCCAGGAAATAATGACTGATACCTTTCCCCTGTCTCAGCTTGCTGCTTGGCTTTTTTACTGCCTCTTTAGTACCACCATTAAAAGGATAAGTGGAAGTGAAATTCGTTTATGTGGCTTTTGCTTTAAGGAAAAACAATGGGGACATAAACTGATCAAGGAGAGGTTAAAAAATTTTATTAAATTGCAACCATCTTTTAACTTGATTTTTTTCTTAGTCTAAAATTACTTTCTAGTTTTTATGCTTGTGCAGTATTCAAACTATGACAATATTAATAAAAGATAAAAATTCCCTTCACCCCACCTCCCCCATTTTTCCCCAGGGACAGCGCTGTTAACAACCTGATAAGAAACTTTCTGGATTTGTAAACTCTCAAGCACATCTACGACATTTTATTTATTTTTGTGGTGCTGAGAATTGAACCCAGGGCCTTGAGTGTGTTAGACAAGTGCTGTACCACTGAGCTGTATCCTCAGCCCTACAACTACAATATTTGAAAACAAAAAAGGGATTGTGCTACTGTGTGTTTGGTTGTTACACATGGTATCTGCAGCTTGCTTTTCTCTCCCACAACCTCCCCTACTCCCTTGTGGATATCCTTAGAACTTTTTTCTTTTTTTGGTGGTACTAGGGTTTGGATTCAGGACCTCACATTTCCTAGGCAGGCACTCTGCCCCTTGAGTTATTCTGACAGCTCCTTAGAAATTTTTTCAAAGGAAATGTCAATGTACCCTGCAAAGAAGATGGCTGTAGCAGTATGTAGGCATTGCTTCACATCAACGAAAAGATCAATAAAGGCCCCAGCTCACCTCCTCCAGGAAGCCTTCCCTGTGAACTCTACTTTTTTTCCCTTTGAATCATCCAGCATGTATGCATGTTGTTTCTGAGTGATATTTGGCCTCAGCTTCTAAATCTGCCCCTTTATCCTATGCTCAAGTCCTTTAAATTTTTTTAAGTTAGCATAAATTAATTATAAAAGGGTTTCATTCTGATAGTTACAATATGCATGTGATGTACTTTGATCAAATTCACCCTATCTATATTATTCTTTTTTAACTACCCTGAATCCTCCACTCTCTTTTGCCAGTTTTTGGTGGGTTTCGTTGTGCTGTTTTCACACATATACATAATATACTTCTATGACAGTCACATCTCTATCACTCTCTTCTTTTCACCCTCATCTTACCTGCTGGCTCCCCTCCACAAACAATTTCCCTTCTAAAATCATTTCATTATTTTTTAAGGTCTAGATTCCACATATAAGCAAAAACATGTGATATATGTCTTTCTGAGCTTGACTTATTTTGCTTAACATAATAATCTCCAGTTCCACACATTTTCCTACAAATGACATAATTTTGTAATACTCCATTGTGTATGTACCACATTTTCTTTATCATTAATCATGGTTGTTGGGCACCTAGGCTGGTTCCATATGTTAGCTATTGTAAAGAGCTATTAATCCTTTTTTATTGCAAAGAACAAAGACTCCCTTTGTAAGAGTTCAGATGAACAGAGCATTCAAACACTGAGGCACCTGGAGGGATGGGTCTTACTTGGCATGCTTGCCTTTCCCTGTCCATCTGATCCAGTCTTTTTACTCTTCAGATCAGCATCCTCAGGTACTGATTTCTCTTCTCTTACTGCCTGGCTTCTAGTCATTTGTCCATTCATTTGTTCATTTACTCACTCATTCATTCATTCATTCATCAGATAGTTACTAGTATTAACAGTATGCCAGAAATGGTTCTAGCACCTCTAATTTTGGCTTCCTCTAATTCTGAATCAAAATCATGACCTTGTATAGCACCACTTACTAAATTCTCCCCATGCTTCTTAATTCACATTTCTAAGGGTTGGAAATCTGAGTGACTCAACTGAAGCCAGGCCTTATGTTGATTGCTGGACACTCCATCTGTCTGATCATGTGGCTGGAGAAGGAGGATGGAGTTCTGTGGGCAATGTATCTCTTCCCAGCCCTAACCTGCCCACACTCTCTCTAAACACTCTCAGTCTTACCTGTGCTTTTGTGTCATCTCCAATAAGGATCACATGATTTGTACACAGTAAATGTTCCATGGATGACATATTAACACAGTCAACATTTCTTGATATGGCGTTGGGCTCTCTGTGGGCAGAGAACAAGAATCACAGCCTTCCTCCCTCTCGAAAACAAGCAAGTAATCAGAGCATTCTATGTGCTAGAGCACAGCAGGTCATGTCACATGAATGATAATGCTATCAGTGTTATCTCTGAAATTAAAGGTGAAGGGAAATCATGAACCAGGAGAAAATTAGAGGAGAGACAGAAACCTAGAGAGATGCTGGTTTGCATCAGACTGACAAGGGAGGGGAAAGCCATCTACAGAAGCAAGTTTAGAGAAGGGACTAGAGTCATGCCAGGCACATGAGTCACATCTGTAATCCCAGCTATTTCAGAGGTGGAGGTAGGAGGATCCTTGACTGAGGCCAGTCTGGGAAAAATCACAAGACTCTACATGACAAACAAACTAAAAACAAAAGGGCTGTGAGCAGAACTCAAATAATAGAGTGCTTGCCTAGCAAGTGCAAGGCCCTAAATTAAATCTCCAGTATCAACAACAATAATAATAATAACAGAAGGGACCAGTGTCAGGGCCTGCTGATGCAATGCCATCCTGATCCCTCCACTCTGTTTGTGTTGGCTGAGCCTGTGGCTTCTTGCTGTGCCTACTCTGTCTCCCAGCTACCTTCCCTGCCTCCTGGTGGAGCCCCTTCTGTCCTTCATCCATGTCAACACTGATGATCCTTGTATATAGAAAACACTGTTTTCTCACTTCCTGCCAGGATTCCCCATTTCTTCATAAAACCTTTATGATGTAGGCCCCGACTGAGTTTTTTTTTTTAACACCATCATCCCTTATTATCTGCTATGCAGCACCAGATTCTTCCTAATCAACACAACTTGCTTGTCTTTTTATTTTTCTTTCTGAAATGTCACCAACACCCATCATCCATCTTGATTATCTTTTATCTTTCCTGCCTTTTCCCATGGCCCAAAGATGAAGTTCTCCTGTGAATGACCACAACATTTAGTGTATTCTCCTGACCTTTGCTCTTTCTTATTGTTTATAGGTTTGTTTTCTCCATTGGTCTATGAGTGTGTTCAGTGTGGGAATCTCTGTCATTCATTTCACTTCACACCCTAACACCTAGTAAAATGCTCATCATAGGTGCTCAAATATGTTTTTTGAAGAAGGGATATTCATGGACACAATTGTCTTTTAAGTATTTGATATGCTTTTAGACTAGCTGCAGAGTGCTGTTAATGTGTTAATCCTGATAACAGGTTTCTAATAGCACTATGCTAGTTTCCGGAGCAGTGAAGTAAAATAATTTTAATCAATGCACCTTAATAAATAAATGTCATAAGTATCAGGAAGGATCCTGGTTAGGAAATTGACAAACTGAATCCAAACTTGCTTTTCAAGCATTTTGAAGAAAAATGAGGAAGAAAAAAGAGTCAGAGTTTGAGTATCTCCCTTTCTGTCTGAATTCTCTTAGGTATAAACATAGGGGACTAGATGATATCTATTCTTCTCCTTTAAATCTAAAATGTTATTATTCCAATGGTCTCCCTAATAAGGGTTGAATATTATATAAATGGCTTTGTGCTAAAATTAGCAATAAACATTACTTAATCCCCCCCATTTTTAAACCAGTGTTCTAAGATCTGCTTTAGAGTTCATTTGGCTTCTCATGATGGAAGTGTAAATACATTTAGTGATCATTTACACAATGGCCCTGTTTCTTTAAGAGACCATGGTTGTTAAGTTAGAAGATCATTGAACCATATAAGGGTCAATAAAAGAATAAACTCACTGGCTAGTGATTGGAGTACAAGGAACTTGATCCTAGTTCAGTTTCGTGTGTCCATATGCTGCTCACAATCACAGGAGGCTCTCCAGGTCCTCTACCACCTGTTCTTCCTTGAGATGGCTTCGGGAAAGCTAATTAAGTTGGTGTTTTTTGAGCTTCTGGAGTTGGCTGCTTTCTGCATTCCCACCCTTGTGATTATGGAACAGTTTGCCACTGCCTACCAAAAGACAAGCAAAAGCTCGGACAAGACACACTATTGGCTGATTGTTTCCTGTTCTATTGCCTATGTGGCTTCAGTGACTCTATTAATTTGGGTTCCCATAAAAGTTCTCTTATATAAGAAGCGTCATCTTTACAGAAGAATCACAGGATGGTAAGTAAAACAATTTTTTCTGGTTTTTTTTTTGAGATGGTGTCCTCCTGCCTCAGCCTCTAGCATGCTGGGATTAAAGGCATGTACCACCACACCTGGCAGTAAAAGATTCTTCAGTAGGGAAACCCTGGGCTCCTTTCAAATATTTTCTGGTATTATATGTAAGAATGTGAGCATGGCACAAGTATAGAAGGTAGGATTAATGGTGGACTTACAATCACTGTTTCTGTAAATGTGCTGACCTTATAGCATCTTCTACATTTTTGATGGTTATTTAATAACATATAATAACATGCAATAACAAATTACATGTGTTAGGAAGATTGGTATCACTTTAAGTCCATGACACCCTAAGTAGTAAATGTAGACCTAATTTATCTACATACTAAACTGCATAAAGTTATCAGAATTAAGTCACACAAATCATCATCACAAGATGATAATGGAGAATTTTACATAAACTTGAAAGTAATGTCTGTTTTTAAATGTTTACATTGGGTTTTATAGGTCTGAGGCACAATTTGACCATTAACCAACTAAAATGTCTTAGGCAACCACTTCCTTTCCTTACATTTAAAAAATACCACTTTACTATATTTATAAATTCTGTTACCTTTGTATGGAGAAAATACTTTCACAACAATATAGAAATATTTCAAAGAAATCAAGATTTAATGCTTGGCTTAACTAGCAGTTTCCCAAAAACTATACTGATCGATGTACAGAGATTGGGAACAAGTAATCCATGATTAATGTGCTTTTCTTCGTAGATCTTCTGATTTGATTTTTACTCATCTGGGATTTCTTTATTTTCTTGATAAGTTAAATTCTCATTCTTACTGATCTTTTATTTTGAAGTTGAACAACATAGAAGACATTTGAAAAGCAAGGATGTGAGAATTTTTACATAAATAAGGACAGAAATGTAAAAAAAAATACATGATGCAATATAGCTAGAAATATCTTAGGGATGGTAGTACTGAAAGAGAAAGGTGAAGCGTGGGTGGAGTTCATGAAGCGTTCTTCAGGTACTGATGACTACATCTGGCTTCCTGAACTTTGTTGGAGGACTTTCAGTTCTCTTAGTGAAGAGATCATACCATTTGTGGTTGGCATGCTTTTTACCAGGCAGAGCCCCAGAGTCACCAATGGGGTAGCTTGGAGCTGAGCTGGGCTCTCCATCTCTCACACCCCTTAGTTGTTCCTTGGACTGTCCAAGACCCTTGGCTAGATCAGGAATTTTGAGGGAATAGTGGACGGTCGAAATGATATCAAGAATAAACCAGAGGGAAGCTGGCCCACTACAGCCCAAGAAACAGCTCTTGGGTCAATTGATGTTTTTTCACATTTGCTCAAATCTCTAGGACTATGCTGTGAACATCATCTAGGCAGCAACCTTTGCACATCACTTAAGATGATTATCACTATTATTCTGATTATTAAGCTGTAATTTCTTCTTTATGTATCATTTATTATGTAGTGAGTACTTTAAATATAGATCTCTTTTCACTTTATACCCTCTTATTGCAGTATTTTACTTTGAGAAGTAGATACTTTAATGAATTTATCATTCTTGCTCTCAAGTGGAAGCTGTCGATGAGTCAGATTAGGCAACTTTTCCAAAGCCAGTCAACTAGTGAGTGAAAAAAATCAGACTTTGGCCCTTGGTCTGCATGGCTCCATAAGTGATACTGCTAACCACTACCCTACACTATCTCTTTGAAGGACAAGGTACCAATATCTTGGGGCAGTTGAGATTAAGGAAGAGAACTAGCCCTTTCTTTCCTCTCCCCAGAGCATGCTGTATTCTAGTCACCTCTGGTGTCTGCTCAGATTTCTTTTTGTATATCTGGTCCAGGTGTTTCGTTCTGTGCTAGTGTCTTGATTTGTTACCACAATTACGTTTTTCAGAGATTTCTTTGGGGAAATCCTTCCCTAGTCTTTAGTTTCTGTTTGTGGGTGTGTCTCACCACAGTGTTTTGATAGGTATATAGAAAGGACATTTTATCTATAATTTCAGTGAACTATGAAGCTATTTCCTCATGGCCTCTTTCATGAACACTATCTTTATCATTCTATGGCATTGAAGAGAAGAAACAACCACTAAATACTTTTCTGGGAACTATGCTACAATATTTGAACTTTATGACAACCCAGTGTGGTGTAAGTGTTAGCCTTTTCTTGTTAGAGACAAGAAACAGAAATTTAATGAAATGATTAACTTTGTCAAGAGATAGATGCAGTAAGTGCTGAAGTTCAGATTATCAAACCCAGATCTGTCTGAGTCCATCCAGTTGCCTCCATCTCAGGCAATTTTTCCTTTACTCTTCCTCACTTTGAATGCCAAGTATGTTTTGAGAAAAATGCGACTCTTTTAAAGTCATTAGGATACATTTCTTCCGAAGGTGTATATTTTGGTATTAGTTATATATGATTCCCAAAGCTGTGTATTTGGATGTTATATGTAGTAATACATATGATAGGGTATCTTATCTTAATTGCTAAATGAAGATGATACAAAAATAATTGCTACTGTAGAGTGTAGGGATTGAAAGTATGAATTACATTTGTAGGATAATAAATAGTTTTTATTAGAAATTTGATAGATTCTTAGCATTCACAGATTTCATGTCGGTGAGATTGAGGGCCTTCCTGAAGCTCCATGTTGGCATCATGAGCCCTGTGAGGCTTGTCTGTAGAGAGAGGGAGCCATGAGTTAGTAAAGAGTCTGCCCCAGAAATACAGCTAACAAAGAGCAGACCTGGACCCAAATCCCAGCTTTGACACTGACTGTGAGAACTGTGTGAGTCACTTAAATACTTGGAGCTTTACTTTTCTTAAGAGCAAAACAGGAACAATCAAGTTTCTGTCTTGGAGTGTTGTTTTAAGAAACTGCATAAGATTCTGTACGTAAAGTTTCTCGAATAGTGCCTAGCAGGTAGTAAGCACTCAATGAGCATTGCTTAATCTGCATTTATTATTTTCACTTAATACAACCACCCAACTGTATATTCCAGTAAGTAAGAGACCCTTTCCTGGAAGATCTATACATGTGTGAAACCACTGGGTCAGGATAATCCTGGAGGATTGATGGCAATTTCTAGGTGGTCTGGGGACCCAGAGCTGTATTTGAGGTATTTCCTTCCGTCCTTCTCAGTACTCAACATGTCAGGAATTCTGGGAAATGCCAAGTTTGAAAGACCCCAATAGCTGGAGTAACACTTTACCTTCCTTAAGTCCTTAACAAATTAGATGACATTTTTGCTGTCCACCTGTAGTAGGAGTAGTAGCAGCATAAGGAACAGTCATAATAAAATAAGAGCAAAAATTTATTGACCTTTTCCTATGTACTAAGCATAATTCTAAACACATTGATTATTTTAGTCAATTCCCTACCTTTTACATATAAGAAAACTTATAGCTTCCATTTTAAAAATGAGGCACAAGAGTCAAGAGTTCTTACAGCCAGGAATAGTTGAGCCAAGACTGGCTCCCAAGCCTCTGTCTCTTGAGCACCTCCCCGTCCCATAGAGTAGCATCTACATGTGAAATGCACAGCACTGGTTCCATCTCCGCACAGACTGGCTGCCATGCAATGTAGGAAACAGAACCTGCTCTTTTGAGCACGTCCTGAGGTCCTGGGAAGGTACCGCTAACTAAACATTGGCATTAATATCACTTCTTCCAGGAACATTCCTGGAACTGTCACCTTCCTATGTACTCAAGGAATAATGATTTTGTCATACTTGACTGCAGGGTTTCTCTTCTTTACTCTTTTATGCCCTTTACCCTACCTTATGTAAATCAGGAAGAGTAGCTTTTCTTTTCCCACCATATGCAATATGTCACCATATTCCATTACTTCATCTCTTTTGCCTCACTCATTCCAAAGAGACCATGGGTCACCATATGCTTGAGATTCTGGCATGGCTCCACTCATTTTTATAACTAGATTTAATGTCAGTCCATTTGTCCTGATTGTTTTTGTTCAAGGGAACATGCAGAGAGTTTTGTTAATTAACTTAGCCTTACTTGCTTCCTTTCTTCCCTTCATTCCCTCCCAGCCCTTGTTGACAGGACAGTGGAGTTACATGTGCTTAATGATTTCTGAGAAATGTGTCTCCTGATACAATTGAGAATGTGGTAAACACAGATGTAAGAGGCTTGCTGGCATAACATAGCACACTGTCTTATGGTAAACTTACTATTATTGCTGCAGTGCTGGGATAGAAACCAGGGCCTTCCTCATGCTAGGCAAGTGCTACTCTACCACTGAACTACATTTCCAGTCCTTTTTTTTTTTGAGACAGGGTCTCACCATATAGCCTAGGACTGGCCTCAAACTCACAATCCTCCTGTCTCAGCCTTCTGAGTGCTGGAACTACAAGTATGTACCACCGTGCTCAGCTAAACTTTTTTTAACTAAAAATTTAAATATATTTTTATTTTTAATTGACAGATAGTAATTATATGTACTTTTGGGACATAGTATGACATTTCAGTATGTGTATTCAATGTGTAATAGATCAGGATAATTGGCATATCTGTCACTTTAGACATTTGTCATTTCTTTGCATTGGGAACATTCAAAATCCTCTCTGCTAGCTATTTTGAAATATTCAGCCAATTGATATCAACCATAGTTATTCTAATGTTTTGTGGAACATTAGAAGTTATTCCTTCTATCCATCTGCACCTCTGTACTCATTAACAATTTTCTATTTCTGCCTACCTAACTTTCCTCCCAGAAACTTTTTTCTTTTTTTATTTTATTTTGTGCCCTAGGCATGAAACAGCTTTGGCCACTGATCCAGGCATCAAGCTAGGATGAACAAAGAACTGTCATCTGCTCTGCTCCTGACTGACATAAGAGCAACACCACCAATGAGGTGTCTCCTTGCGCATTGCCAGGGGGTCAGAAACTTTTTTCTGTAGAAGGAAAACAATCAAAGTGTAGCATGGTAACAAACTAGCTCATTGTCATTATCCATTGCTATGTA